GATAAATGCCTAAACCTCCCGAATATCTGCAACTAATCTACTTTTAATGCCCGGGTTTTGTTATTAGCCAATATTACATCAATACCTTATCAGGGAGTTGAATGCTACTACACCAATACTACTTTTTCAAATCTCACCTCTACAGAAGGTACACCACATGTCGTAGCTATCAGATCCATGATAGTTTCCATCACTGCTGTCGCCTGCATACATCCAGGTGATCGCATGACAGTATTCGATGCCATATTTGTTTTACACGCCCTTCCAGATAGTGCATAGGCAGGTATGTTATATGCATCCTGCAGCTGAATCAACGTTTTTATCATCGTCTAAAATTTAGAGAGCAGAACTTAAATAAGGGAATACAAATATAAACTTCAAGTTGAGATTGTGTAACATATACTTTGCAGTGTACTGTACTATCTTACTCTATCACCTAGCTTCCTTACACATAGATGTTATTAAATATAATCACTTATCCTTTAGCATAAAACATCATAGATTGTATTATTAACACAGTTTATAGAGTAAGGGTCGCGAATGATTATATGACATAATTTCTTGGTTAGGTTAAACATTAAATTATGTGAATCAATCTAGCAGCAAGGTTAACCAAGTACAATGAGAAGAATGTGATACTTACGTGAATTGAAATGTCGTAACCGAATCCGGCATTTAAAAATATGGCACATTGAAGCGCACGAACCCTGCCAGTTTTACTGAAACCGACATTATACCTGGCTAATATTGGATGTCGCTTACCAACAATCTGCATATCTAAATCACGCCCAACTACGAGACGAGTTGGTTTGCCAGTTCTGGAGGTTGCAAATAAAATACAACATTCGTAACCCAATAATGATTTACAGATTGTCAAATCTAAAGCAATACTTGCAATTCACTTGTAATATAAAAAGATGATTTCCAACGATAATTGTTGTAGGATATCATTAAAGACTACAATCTAACTGCGACAAAGGCATGTGAGCTTAACATAAGATTAAATACATATATGTTAACTAGTTACTTTTTTGCAGCAACGGCACACGTCATAGCAAAGTGAACTGGACGTGTGATTTTACCACCGAATGCTCCTCCAACACGCCTAATCTTACATGTGACTTTGTTTGCGGGTATACTCAGAGCTGCTGCCACACGTCTCTGTAAAGGAATAGGAGAACGGATTGATTGACTAACTGACTAATTTATTATTCAGTTCATCAATGCTAATTATGCTGTTTTAATAATATCTATATTTGATAGAAAGAAACATGATGCACAATTATGGTTATTAGAACAACAATATTAAACAACGCGTGAACAACAATATAAAAAACAAACTAGAACGATTAGCAGACCAGTGTTTTGTTATGACACATACCTGTGTAGAAGACAAGTCTTGGGAGGACACAATTATTATCATTTCATTGAGTTCCTTTGGCTGTGCGATACAGCACTGTGATTCCATATAGTAATGACACTGACCACCAATACGAGCCTCGCCTTCGATCACATGATCCGACTTCGCCAGTTGGCCCTTTAAATCTCCTTCTTCTAAATGACGAAATGGCTGTAGGTAAGAGTCTTGGTCAATGGCCTCCTAGAGTAAAGATGTAAAAAAAAAGGATTGTATGACGTTTGTAACAACCAGTCCATCAGTTATTATAGCTGAAATATATTTACTTTTGCCCACCTCAATTGTAAGAATGGGTACCAGTACTTCATACTCTATTTTTACTAACTTAGCTGCTTTGCGAGCCAATTCCATTGTGTCCGCAACAACACCGCCAATCACCTGACCAATGTATAATACCTGAAATCCACGGAAAATGTTTATTTAATTGGGCATATTTCTCTATCACTGTTCATTTCGTATGTTCGACACTTGAAAAAAATGAATCATCTTAATATTACAAGTATATTTTAACCTAATGCAAAAACAATAGTATATCATGCAATATACGTAAAAGTGTATGCAAATGTAGTAAGATTATATTAAGGCTTCTACAAAACCTACTTCTTCTGATGCAAATATAACTTCATTTGGATCAGTTTCATTCCACCTGTTTTTACCAGGTACATCATCAGCTCCAACGAAGCAGTGTACACCTTCCAGTTCTGTGGCCTCTGATGCATCGATTAATCTGTATATTCATTGAATGGATGAATGAATGAATGAATGAATGAATGAATCAATCAATCAATCAATCAATCAATCAATCAATCAATATCTATTATTAAGTTGTTTGTTTTAGGCAACTAGTCACGAGGGAATCTCAAAATGTGTTAGCGTGTTCTGTAAATATATACTTACATGATTTTTGCATTTGCATGTTTACTTGTTACAAGGGCGAAGTGCAATTCACCTGTGTCAAAGAAAAATGATTCATATATAATTGATGAGATCTCTCAATCACATACTTCCAGAGATTATTAATTGCATGCTATATAAACCTGGTGTTTGGGCATACGGTCTGGTCAGCTAATGACACCTTTGTAGTGTCTGGGGTGAAATTAGACTGGCACAGTCGGAGCGATTAATTTGGTTTTGTAGTTTAAATAAAATAAAATAAAATAAAATCGCGAAATGGAGGTGTTAGCGCGAAATCACCCCGACTGGTTTATTCTGCGGGAAATTCATGCTATTAAATATTCATGAGCACATATTATAATGAGGTGGGCGCGGAAATACGTGCATAATGAGGTCAACATGGTAAAGGTCACACTGCAGACCCAACATGGCGACACGTTGAAATTCGGGTTTGTCGTAGTCGTCGTTTCTAATTCATCACAATGTGTAAAAAAGTAACCCGTACTGTCGTAGAATTGAAAAAAAGTCGGCTGCTACAATCAGCCGACGCCTTCTCGGTCAGGGTTCAGTTGAAGAGACGTTGTGATTGGCTTTGATGATTGTCAATTAGAACACTCATTAACATAATTACCTGGGTTCCTGTAGTGTCGATAGAGGGCCATGCAGAATAAACCAGTCGGGGTGATTTCGCAGTTACAGGGGATTTCGCGCTAACACCTCCATTTTGCAATTTTTTATATTTTATTTAAACTACAAAAACAAATTAATCGCCCCGACTGCGCCAGTCTAGGGTGAAATAGATATAGCACTGAATTATGATCGTATCTAATAGATTAGACAGTCAGTGGCAATAGTCGACCGGCGGTGTGATTATTCTTAAATGAGTGAGCTGCAATTGGTGTGCGATTTTATATATAAAAAGTTGACGTGACAAATAAAACACATCATTAATATGACTTATGACACAATTTCTACAGTATCACAAATGAAATGCGTCATTCGTACATCTACCTTGGCATAATGCATAAACTTTTACCTTGTTCTGGTTTTATGTCATCTAAAAAGATAGCTTCCCCAGTGGTTAACTGTAAACTTGATTCATTCATGATTGGTCGTCCCACAGGATCGTCATTTGACTGTGATCTAGGTACATCCTATACAAAAAGATACAAAAAAACTCAAATACAATATTTACCTTCATATATAGTATATATATGAAACAATGAATAACATTAATCATTTTTGAATGTTCTTACCTGAAATAGTTGCATGCTCTCAGTGGGCGGCATCTCGACTGGAACCAGTGCTGATTTGCACTGGGCAGGTACAGTCAGAACAGTGTCAGTCTATAAGATAATTACCATTATAGTCCGGCGGAAGAGAGGGCTTTTTTGGCAAAATCTTGTAATAGGGTCCATAGTTTTTTTTATTGTCCAAAATTATTGTCCATGTTATTAGCTTCACCGAACCACCTGCTGGCTTGCTGTCTGCATTGAGCAACTTGTAGTACAAGGGCATATGTATGTGTATATGAATACAATTATTTTTAGTACAGGCGATTTGTGTTATTAATGGTCAGATTACCTAATATGTACTATCATATTTTCTCTGTTACCCTTTCATGGCCTTTATTTTATCCCACATGAAAAGAGAGTGTATAATTCAGAGCAGCGTTTGAGTTCTATTTGGGTATATCCTTCAATATGTGGATAGAATCGGCCCTGAATAGCGTGAAATCACTGTCCAAAAACATGTTGGTCCTGTATATATGAAACCTCATAGAATAAACAGATGCATAAACTATCTCTGTTATCTTGTCATGTTTTAAAATTGTTATTATAATACATACTCATTCCATAATCTTAATGCGACTTTCTCATTGGTTATTTGGCATCACGTGATTCCATATTATCAGACGAGATAAGGTAACCAGACGAGCCCCAGAACTAGCATTGAATCACACAATCACCTAGTCACATATTTGAGCTCACAAAGAAATTTTTCGATCACTTTCAGACAACCAATACGAGACAGCACTCGCGAAGATATGATGGATTATGTGCGTTCTCTCAACGCAACATGTTTTTGGTTGTGGTTGATGTAAATTTGCGCGCGCGTCTCTGCATTGAAACCTTGTCTATGACCAGGCGTGCGTGTTTTCCATGCTGATTCGGGTGAATTTAGTTAGAACTCGTCCTTGTATAGACAAGAAACGGTGAGTTGTTCGTGGAATAGCGGTATTATAA